TGAATCATTATGTGTCTAATAGACATCAAACATTTTAAGATTATCATAATCATTTTCAGATTAAGTTAAAAATATGCGTTTTTCAAACTCACAAAAGTGAGCATACAGTTGGATTTAAATAGATTTTTGCAGGTATTTGGCCATCTTTTTATTCTCTTAATATATTTGTAAGAATTGTGCCTTGTTTTATATAAGCTTTAGAGGAGATTTTTGAATGAAATTTATTTCATTAATTTTAAAATGGCAATTAAAAGAACTGAAACATCATTAGAAATCAGAGAACTGGTTATTAAATTGAAAAATGAGACAAAATCACTCAATCAAATAAGTCAAATTATTGGTAGAAGTAGAGCTACAGTGCAAGGAATAATAAGGCAATATAATTTGACAAAAACTACGGAAAACTTGCCTCGTACTGGTAGACCACCAAAATTGAACGGTAGAGATAAAAGAGAAATCATTCGAACAATTCGTAATAATCCGAAAACTACTGCAGTAGACATAGCCAAACATCTTGAAAAGGTTAAAGAAACTAATGTAAATCCAGAATGTGTTAGAAGAGCCTTGAGAGAAGAAGGATATAATAGCAGAATTCCTCGTAAAAAACCTCTCATTAGTAAAGTCAATAGAGACAAAAGATTAGCATTTGCGCATCTTCATGAAAACGATAATTTCGATTACTGGAGCAAAGTTATTTTTACAGACGAATCTAAATTTAACATTTTCGGCTGGGATGGTAAGCAAAAAGTTTGGAGACAACCCGGAACAGAGTTAGAGTTGAAGAATCTGACTCCTACAGTAAAACATGGTGGAGGTTCAGTGATGGTTTGGGGCTGTTTTTCAGCTTCAGGTGTTGGCAATTTAGTCTTTATAGAAACCACTATGGATTGTTTTGTCTATTTGAATATATTGAAAAACAATTTGAAGCAATCAGTGAGAAAATTAGGCATAGGAAATGACTGGATATTCCAACAAGATCAGGATCCAAAGCACACAGCTGTTGTACAACACAACTGCACTCCCCTCCTCAAAGCCCCGACCCTAATCCTATCGAAAATTTATGGGATGAACTGGACAGAAGTATCAGAAAAAGGCAAATTAAAAACAAAGACGATCTTAAAAAGACATTGCTTGAAGAATGGCAAAAAATCCCCCCGCACTGTAACCGAAGGACTGGTCTATTCAATGCCTAATCGTATGAGAGGTGTTTTAAATTCAAAAGGTGGACTAACTAAATATTAAAATATGGAAATTTCAAACATAGAATTTCCTGTATGTTCACTTTCGTGACTTGCGAAATGACTGATTCTCCAATATATTATATTATTTTATGTCTAATGATAAAAAAACTGCTGTTTTTGCTCATCAATTTTTTATTTCTAATCAATTTAAGCTAAATTGAATTCAATTCTTAGGTAAATATTTGAAATAAATAAGTTTCTTTTCATTTTGAAAGGTGTATGCTGACTTTCGTGTATCACTGTAGCTAAGTTAACTGTTAAACGATCTTAAAGCAACCTCATTAAGTCCTCTTTATCGTTCTGAATATTAAACCGGTTCCAAAGTGTGCGAAGAGGTTTTTCCCTTTGTCAAACATGAACAAAGCAGAGTTAGTTACGTAAAAGAACCTCTTTTCTTGCTTCCGACATTAACAATCCGAAACATTAACATTCAAACGTAATCAGTTAAGAGGTCTCACCCCGTTCGCGTTGTGCATTGGCCGCGCCAATTATTCAAATTTAAAAGATTGAATTTTGAAAACTCCTTTCTACGTATTTTACATATAATAAATTCAAAGTATAACATATAAGTTGACCTTCAAATACTTAAGGTTGTAATGTTCTGCAAAATAAAAAAAAGAGGAAAATAACCAGGGTGTTCTGCAAAATAAAAAAAGAGGAAAATAACCAGGGTGTTCTGCAAAATAAAAAAATCAGAAACCATACAGAAAGTTTGTATTTAATGAGACACTTTGTTTTGCAGTATTGGATTGCATTTTTTGGAGTTAATTATTCATTCTCAATTGGTACGAAGCTTCCAAATGTTAAATAAGCCCAAAATTGTTTTTGGGAATGCTCAATGGTTTGATAGGACGCTGCGTTCCTTGATAAGTTCTTCAGAACTTTATCTGACAAATGTTGAGCAAAATCCTTTTACAAAAAATCTGTTTAGTGGTACGTACGTACATACTTGAAGAAAAAAATTTTTATGAAATCCAGAAATAATGTATCTAGAATAATTGAGCAGTAATTTTTGCATCAGTGAATTAGTGTTTTGGATACTTGTCACCCAGTTTCAATAAACTTATTCTTACAGCTACTTAAAGACAACAAATGCCTTATACCTCTACGTTTCACCATCGCATCAGTTTAGACTAGGTCAAGACGTACTTCTTCTTGTAGAAAAATATATTAGAAACCAGTATAAAGTGAGAAATCCCTGTGGTATAATACAATGAAATAATGAAAAATAAAGCTTGTCCTAATCAATTTGCACAGTACTGTGCATGAAGAGAGCGCGAAAACAAAAACATCAAAACCTGAAGCCATCAATAACAGAGTGGGGAGTTGAAAATCTTAGATAACAGGCAAAACGGGTTTAAAAAATATTAATATTTTTTTTACATTAAAATGAGTATTTATGTCTACGATCATGGAAAATATTATCGGCGGAGATAATTTGCCTGAATTATAGTTTAAATTAGTTTTTTAATTTTACTCGTCTTGATTTTTCATTGTAACTGCGCATAAGATTTAAACATACTTTGGTGAAGCTTGGTAATACTTTGGTGGAACTTAAGCGACTCTTTGGTGACCTTTAGCTTTAAGAAGACTATTCGCGATTCAAATAAACTATAGGTGGCGCTGCAGTCTCGGGCAAATGGCGTCAGAAAAAGGTAATACAATCTGATGTTGTATCTGTTTCCCAGTGTATTAACTGTGTGATACATTAGCATTTTTTTACTAGCTAGCTTAATTTTTTAGTTCAGTGATGGATTTTATTAAATTATTAGATATTTTATCATATCTGATCTGGAAAGGGACGAGAAATCCAGGAGCATCAAAAATTATTAACCCACCGCGTTCGGCTCGGTTTTTATACTTTCCGGTCCTGAAATAATTTTTAAGTTACTTTTAGTTTAGTATTTTTTATTTTAAGTAATTTTTTCACCACTAAATATCAAAAATTATAAGTATGATATCAAATGCAACGTTAAAGCATCAATCTATCCTTAGTGACTGAAACAACATCATAGAACTATGCAAATCCGATGAATGGGTTAAAGCCGCCTAGCGGCTGTGTACCCAGGTTCTCGCTATTTCTACCATTCTAGCATCAATCTACTGGTTACTTTATTAAGAAGTAGGCGTTACTATCTTCCTTCAACGAATTTTTCTTTATAATTTGCGAAATTCCTGCCACCTAGTAGCGAAAATAAGCATCAGATGATGGCTTTGGATGATGGTCGTACACGGGGAAATGACGGGATCCGTATTGAAATCAGTGGAAAAATTTCTTCGGCCGCGATTTTCACGTTACCCGTAGTGGGGGTCGAAACAGATACCCCGCTCAAATCGCGGAAGCCGTACGCGGAGGGTTAATTGAAACCACATTATAAATATGTGGTGTTGTAAATACTTTTCCATTTAACCAATAAATGCTTTTTATAAATAAATAATGCATTTCTTTACTTCCAATAAAATTCTTTTTCGAGCAAAATAAAGCAGAGGACTCATAAATTTTAAGGTAAGTCATCAATACTTATTCTCATAAAAATTAAGCAAGAATATCTTTATCCTTTGGTTACTTACGCTTAACCAAACATATCTTCAAAAAATGTACAAATGCCAAATTCTATCTTTACTTAAAATAACATACTTTTCATCCAGTTATAAGATTAATATTTAACCAGATAAATGAAGCAGAAATTTAATTTCAATTATGAATCCTCTAAAATAGAAGGGCTTTATTTTTAGGAAAATAAAAATATTTCAGAGGAAAAATTATCATATATATGCATACATACAGGGTAAAATATAGTTTCGAACTTTAAAAAATGTTTCCAACACACAAGCATGTGTCTTGTAACTGTCTTTCAGATGCGTAGCTTATTTATCCACAAGTTTCTTCTATTTTCTTTTTTTCCGTCGACAAAAACAATTTCCTCTTCTTTAGGAAAAGTATGAAAACTAACGTCATCTCGAGTGACATTGTGGAAAGCAGCAATTTCTATTGCTGAAACCCAAACTTTCAGACATTTTACAATTTCGTATTAATCATCAGCCTAAGTCCCAGATTTAACCGTTGGCTTTACCTGTTGCGTTCAATTCTTGAATCACCGCACGGTGGCATATTCGAGCTCTAGAATTGCGAAAGTCGATATCCCTATATACCAAATGGAAATATCGGAAACTGTGTTTTCCAAATTTTCACAACACCTTGATAATTATTTGTGAAATAATTATTTTTTAAGTAATAAAATATTTTATAGTCAATTTAATTTTTACATTTAAAAAAGTTTAAATACTTCTCTAATAAATAATACTCTTAAAAGAAAATTATGATAAAATCATGACTGATAAATCATAAGTTATGATCCAGTTTTATCAAATGAAAAGAAGATTTCGTTGATTGTTATCATCATAAAATTTATAAAAGCTGTAAAATCAATAAAACTTATTGTTCACAAATATTTTTATAGGACCAAACTCCAATCACTCTACAAATCACTCCAAGCAGCCAACAGTCTTTGATTTTTCTCTACAACCTTTCTGTTGTCCCCAACCAATAGTTTCAACCAATAGTTTTGTTATTGGAATTACAGAGAGGGTTATAAGCTGACGCAAAGAGTTCGTCGCACTAATCTATAATCTACAATACCTTTATATCTAATTTAAAAGTATTGTATGTACTTTTTTTTTCATCATCCTTTCTTATTACGTTTTTGATTTTGATTATTATTTCAATTTTAAACTGAAAATTGTATTTCTTTATTATAAACTAATCTATATATATATAAATCCAATGATAGTGTCGCACCAGCCAATGAAATCTAAGGTATCACGTGACAGTATGAAAGAAGTAGCCAATCCAAGCGAGGATGCAGTTTTAAGCCAATCAGAAAAGAGAACGCATTCGCGTCAAAGCTTTTTGTTGATTTACTTTGAGTGGGTTTTTGCTGATTACATCTCATCTTATCTTATCATTCTTATGCCTATCCAGTGATTGATATCTTTTAATGTTTACATTTTTGTTGTTTGCTATTATAAAGCTTACTGAGGCTTGCTTACCTTAAAATGGTTAAATTTTAAATCACATTTATTTATNGTGTTAACGGGGTTTGACTGTACCATCTGATGTTGTATCTGTTTCCCAGTCAATTATTAGAACTGTGTGATACATAAGCATTTTTTTACTAGCTAGCTTAATTTCATTGTCCAGTGATGGATTTTATTAAATTATTAGATATTTTATCATATCTGGAAAGGGACGAGAAATCCAGGAGCATCACTGAAGGTGAAAAAATTATTAACCCACCACGTTCGGCTCAGTTTTTATACTTTCCGGTCCTGAAATAATTTTTAAGTTACTTTTAGTTTAGTATTTTTTATTTTAATTAATTTTTTCACCACTAAATATCAAAAATTATAAGTATGATATAAAATGCAAAGTCAAAGCATCAATCTACTAGTTACTATATTTTAAAAGTAGGCGTTACTATCTTCCTTCAACGAATTTTGCTCTATAATTTGCGAAATTCCCGAACCCTCTAGTGCCACCTAGTAGCGAAAATAAGAATTGTCTAGGGCCTGCTTTCAAACTTTGATACTTAGGGAAATATGCACTTTCTTCACTGAGAGTGGGATTTTTCGAATGTTGTTTTGATCGCCATTTTTGCTTGCCTCTGCTGTCTCGCTTAAATTGCTGTGTTATTATGTCCCATGATTTTTATAAAAAACGCAACTTGCATTAATACTGTTGACGACTTGGAACGGAATTCGGATAATGATTTTTTGGATATGGACAAACCTATGGTTTCTCATACTGATGCTGGCGACATGGAACGGAAAACGGACGATGATTTTTTGGATACGGACAGTCCTATTGTTTTCCAAAATGTTGCTGAGGATGTTGAGCAAAGTGTTGATCATGATCCAGATCGAGCCACAAGCAGTCTCGAATGTAGTTCTTGCAGAAAAATGTTTAAAAATAGAAAAACTTTACGAAAACATGTGCTTAAATTTCAAACTTCAACTAAATGTGCTTAAATTTTAAGGGATCAAAGAAGGATTTAAAAATACATTTTGAAGCAGATCACGACATTGATATTGAAGAAGAAACTCTTCCATTTGAAAGTGAAAATGACTTTGTAGCCTGGAAAGCTAAACTGGAGAATGATAATGCTGTTAGCTATGTTAAAGAGCGTGGTGTTGCCCATACTACAACTGGTGTGGAAAAACAGTTCTTCATCTGTAACAGATCTGGTTACTATAAATATAAAGGTAAAGGACTGAGACACTTAAAAACGCAAGGCAGTAGAAAAATAAATGGCTATTGCCCTGCTGGCTTCACTGTGAATAGTTCCGCAGATGGGTGCCTTCTAAAATATATCAAAACGTATATTGGCCATACAAATGAAATTGGACATTTGTCATTAACCGAGGAAGAAAGAAGTTTCTTTGCTGCTAAAATTGCAACAGGGATTTCATTTAATAAAATTTTAGATGGTGTTAGAGACAATATCCCTCCTTCTGGAATTAGGAGAGTTCATTTGCTAACAAATAAAGATCTGCATAATATTCAAATGGAATTTGAGGTTGAAGCTTTTGGTCTGAAAAGTGATGCTGCAAGCATTGATCTTTGGGTGAATCACAAAGATAATAAAGATGCTTTGTTTTATAAATTTCAAGAGAACCATTGTCCAAAGCATCAAAATTTGCAAAGTTATGATTTTGTGCTTATTATTATGACGGAAGCACAGAAAGAAATGCTAACTAAATATGCTCCTGAATGCATATATATCGATAGCACCCATGGCACAAATGCTTATGATTTTCAACTGACAACATTGCTAGTCCTCGATGACATGAGGCAAGGACCTCCATGCGACTTCATGATTTCAAGTAAAGTCAATCAAGATACATGTGCTGTGCTTTTTAATGAGATTAAAGATGTTTTAGGGGATATCTCAACTGCAATTTTTATGTCTGATATGGCTGATTCTTATTATAATGCCTGGTTATTAACATTTCACACTATCCCTACTAACAGACTTTATTGTGCCTGGCATGTTGATAATGCCTGGAGAAACAATCTTAACAAAATAAAAAACGACAAAACCGCGTTTTTGTGTACAAAATTCTAAAAACTTTGATGTACGAAATTGATGTAAATACATTTGAAGTTCTGCTTAAAAAAACTAAAGATACGTTTTCTTTAAATGATGAACTAAAGCAGTTAGGAGACTACTTTTTTTCAGTTTTATGGAAATAATTCAGCGTGCTGGGCTTACTGTTATTGAACAAACCTTAGAATCAATACCAACATGCATCTTGAAAGTATGCAACGGACACTGAAATATATTTATTTCAAGGGTAAAAAGGTGAAACGGTTAGACAAATCTGTTATTCAGATTATGAAATTTATCAGAGATAAACTATTTGATAGACTAGTTATTTTACATAAAGGCAAGCTAGTTCCAAAGCTGAGTGACTTGCGCCTGAGGCATAAAACTAGCCTTGCATTATCTCTTGATTTTTTTAGTGAAATAAATGATTCCTACATTGTACTTTCTTCAAATGACCCTGCGACAGCTTATATGGTAAAAAAGAACAATAAAAGCTGTATCTGTCGACTACGTTGTGATGAATGTGATTCCTGTTTACATGCATATACTTGCACATGTATAGATGCAAGTATTAAAAATAATATGTGCAAGCATATTCATTTGACATGCAGGTACTTGCAGTCAAAACAATGCATTGATAAAGTGGGTGTGGAGGCAACTAATTTATGTATTGATACGGATAAAGCTGATAAAGATTTTGAAGAAAATGTTATAGTTACAGAACTTTTAAAGTAAAGTGGTACAGTGAACTAATCATTAATTGAAGCAAAAGAGGATTTGATAAAAAAATTTAGTGATATGATTTATGGTATCAAAGATGCATCAAGTTAAAATTTTAAACGACACATATAAGTCAGCTCAAGTAAAGTTGTTGGCTCATCATAATTTTACCACTCCTCTCAATCCTTTGCTTCTAACAAAGAAAAGAAAAATTGCACCACAACGGCGGCTATTTTTGGTTAAAAATAAAAAGAGTTAAGCGTAATAATGCTATTTCAAATCCTACCGTGCAAAAGTGCCAGGATATTACTTTATCTCTAATTATGCGAAGTCATAGCAGTTAATAATATAAGTAGTTTTTTTTCCTCTATCAACATATAAAGGGAAACCAGTATAAACTTTATTTTTATTTGTATAGGCAATTATAATGTACTATTTGTTTGTATTGAAGTGGCAAACAGCAATGTTCCTGTTTCACTTATCCTTTATATCATATTTGCTTTCTTAAAACTTCTATTTTTATCCATGTTATTTTTATTTATTTTAAAAAATTCTTGTAGTTTGATTTCAAAAATTTAATAATATCTCTAATTACTACTTAATAAACACATCCTAAGAACAAATTCTAATATTTTAATTTCTATTCATTGTAAGCTGTTGCCATCAACCTCTCTCAAGAAATTATCGAACTTGCTTTTAATAAAAGCTAAAACTTTTGTGTTAACATCAAATATATTTGACCAAAATTGTTGGTATATCATGCTAACTGAAATAACTAGTTGCGCAAAATATTGTAATTGCATCCATTGTGAGCTGTGTAATGGATATTGTATCCATTTTTTAATAATTTTGCTTATTTTTAGATTTTGGATAAACATCATTTTCGGTATAATATTTCTTTCAAATATGTAGAACAGGCTTCTGATTCTGCACTTTTATGTGTTGATCTAGATGCTATATTTTTCATGCATATTATTAAATAAAGGAGTAAATTTATTAAAAAAAAAACATGTTACTAAGATAAAAAGGGCAAAAATATCACATTTAATTATTGCGATGTATAAAAAAAGATTATTTTTTAACCGCTGCATCAGTTTTTCACAATTTTATTAATCCTGAACTTAATATTGCTTATCGATTATTATATTGCTTTATAGTTAAACTGTGTTGTTTTCATGTGATGTTTTTGGATTATCCTATACAACAAGCTCTTGTAGAAGTAATCATATGATATTATAAACACACATGGTTAAGAAGTGTTCTCTATGCTTCAAAATTTTTGGGGAAGAAGTCAGTATGTGAATTTTTATACTTGTTCAGCATCCTAACATTTTGAATTTTTGTAGTATGTAATTATTCTCATCTTTCATACAGTGCCTAAAAACTCTCTGCCATAATACACAATGCCTAGGCTTTTTCGTACTTTGCCGATAACATATATAACAAAATGAATGACTTAAGTCTTCATAGCACATCAAGTATGGTATTAAGAGACGATTACCCTTGATTTGATAGCATAAAATAATTCACTGTGGGAGGAATATGTTTTTAAAAAAAATCTCTCTATTCTTCCCTCACATCATAATCGACTGTTTTAAGAGAATCCTCGTATTTTGTTACGACTAAATGATTTTCCGCATTTAGTTTTCCTTTTTTTATTGTTTTTTTAAAAAAGAAAGAAATTTTTCCATAACATTAAGAAGAAGAAAAAAAATTTGAAGTTTCTTCACATAAGTGCAGAAACTAGTAAATCGTTTATCTGTGAATTCCTGTTAGTATTGTACAAATTATTTCCAATAGAGAATCAGCATCCTTAAGTATTGAGGAAATTTTGTGCTTAATTTTTATATTTTACACTTCTGGTGAAATAATAAGAAATAAAGAATGCTTTTTATTTTCAACAGAAATCATTTTTTTTTTCCTTTCTATTTTAGTATATCTTTTAAAAAAAATTGCTGTGTAGTAATTTCTTAATTTTTTTTTGTTTTCTAAACACTTATAAAAGCAAAAGAGTTATCAGCTTATGGTCAAGAGTCTTGTTTTTGGAGAATTTGTTAATCCTTATATGCAACTTTTAACAAGGTTTGATTTTATGTGTATAAAATTATGTACCTAAAGCCTTTAAAACTCAGCCCATTTTAATCACATATAAAGTTACTAGTTGGTTTCATTTATGTTATTAAATAAATATGTGTGCCGTATTTTATTAATGTAAATTTCAGTTAAAAATTTAATAGCTGCAGCTAGGCTTTTTTTTATGAGTTTGTAGCTAATTAGAGAAGAGGGTACCTTTTCTTTAGGTTAATTGTTTTAAATGAGTTTTTTTTTAATACATACGCATATAATCTCTTAATTTAAAGCATGATTGTGTAACATTTTCTACAGTTCTACTAGGTAACTTCATGATGTCATCATTTGGTGTCAATCTGTGTAATTAATGCAAGATCAGTTTTCAGCCATTAGAAGTATGTCATGAAGCAGTTATTCAAAGCAGTGTCAATTTCTAATATATAGTCTCTGTTAGTTATAAAGTAATTCTAATGATCCGTATATTTATTAGTCCTTTTTTCTTTAGATACAAATTTTTGTAAATTGTAAACATTGCTCTGTGTAACATTTATTAATTCACATCAAGATAGTCTGTGTTGTTAAACTGCTGGCAGTTTTCAATTTTATGATTTGAATAAATATTTTTTCTTAGTTCACATTTGTATTTCTCTTATTATTCACAATATTCTAAATAATGTTTTAATTATTACCTTTACTTTTTCCTTTGTCTAGTAATGTATTTGAGTATTTTAACTTCATAAATTTAAATATATATAATGGCAATATAAAAAAAACCACATTTAAATTTTGAAATGAATAGCAAATCAATAAAACTAGTTTTAAATTTTTTAGCAATATAAGGGAGATTTTTTTTCAAAACATTAACTTTTGCTTATGACAATTAAGTAAAATTCATCTCATAATTAACTTAATGTTAAAATTTTTTACATTATTGATTTTTATACTTAACTGTATAGACTTAAACAGTAATGGAAAGACATTAAAAATAAAAATTTAGTGACATTTTAAATTGTAATTGCATAAAATAATGTAACTTATTACCTTAAGCAAGATCAAATTTTGTAAGGAAACACAATAATTTAAAACCAAATTTCTATAATTTGGTTTGTAAATTTAAAATGTGTATGGTGACAGTAATTGCAATTGGTGGAAGGAACAAAATTTTAATATATATTTTTTTTTCTCCACTATACCATTTACTTTATGATACTTTAAAAACATATTGTTTGCTTTACATTTTAAAATGCAATTTGTATATTTTGTACCTCCAACCAATAAAACAAATTCCATTAAGAATTAATTTGCAATAAACTTTTTACTCAGAAGTTTTATTCTCCAACTTTTTATCACTTTTATTTAACCAATTTATCTAAAATTAAGAAATGACTAAGTAATTAAAGCAAACTTAAAATTTAATCAATTTAAATTCACGGTAAAATAGAATTTTTGATTTCGAAAATAATTTTAAAGTAGAGAAACAAATGTTTTTTTTTTTTTTTTAAGTGATTAATTTAACTTGGCATTATTTTCACGAATGGCTAAATTTCTGAAGAGACAAAACACATCGTTCACTCTTTTACTAAATTTCTGAGGTAAAAAAGTTTTTTACTTCGAAAATCGCTTCAAAGTTGAAAAAAAAAAGTTTTTTTCCCCCTCCAAGTTTACTGATAAGGGTCTAGCACGTTGATTAATTCAGTCTCAAACGAAACTTAAATTTCTTACTTATAAGCAGAGGTTGAAAATTAACATACGGATGAAGATTTCAATATGGGAAAGTACCTATACCAATTAACATTATAATGTATTGGAAGTTTACCACACGCTACTAACATTTGGTTATAATATAAAGAGTTTACTCTCGTTTTATTTTCATTTCGACTATTTAAAGGTTCACTCATAAGTTGGTTTGTTCTTGAGGGTCTCCACACGTAACATACTAGACGTCAGTCTGAGTACACATACAAGAATGTAGGTTGATGAGATTCCCCTCATTTAACCTATTGGTAAATGGAAGAAAGAACTCTTGGTTTATGAAGGTACCCACATTATGACTGCTGGTTCTTAGAGAATGCACACACAGGTCTGTTAATTCATAATGGTTCTTAAATACAACATGCGTTCTGGTTCATGGACACATGTCTGTTATCGAAGGTACCCAAAATCAGCCTCTTGGCTCAGAAGGGCACCAAACCATTCACATTTTAAACGATTTACACACCTCCGACCAC